AGGGTTGTGTACACATATCATGAACTTAATTTGAACCGCAAAAATTTCAATGAGGATTTCAAAATTAGGTTGTCATTGGACCCACGAAATTAAATTTTGAGTAATGAATAAATCATTTTTTACGATCGTGAAAGCCTGATTGGTCAGTTACGATTGTTGTTTTTAATGCGAAGAGCATTAAATCTTGAACTCATTTACACTATACATGAGTTTGACTGTGTCGCATTAATTTCTATGGTGGTTGAGTGCAAGAAATCCATTTTCTTTCAATGGGATGTGATGGAATTTCGAGACCTCTAGGGGGATGCGTGCACATGTTTTTGTTATGGCATTCAAACACGTGTAGACAACGACTTGCTTACCGAGTTGTCTTAAGATTGGTTTTAGAAAACGAAATGACTGTCTTTTATATAAAATTTAAAATATTTTTATACGAGTTGAGGGGACCAACTTAGCCTTACGTCAATCACAATTGAATGATTTGATAATAAAAGAGTAAAAAGAGGTTTGAAGAGTGATTGATTTTGAGCCATCCCAAGTATTAATAAGAGTGATCACTAGAACTCTTACTCAATCGATAATTCTAGGACTTTAAGTGATTAGTTGAGGTGCGTACAAACTGGTCCAAACACCCCTAGTGATCCAAAAAAAAAAAAGGCTGTCTTAGGCTGATGAATAACTCTAGCAATATTTTCTTTTTTTTGGTGACTGAGATTGTTCGAACTAGTTTGTGTGTACCTTTAACTAATCCCATGAGGTCCCAAATTAATAATCGGGTAAACTTTTCAGTGGCTACCTTATTAGTAATAAAGAGAAATTGAATTCAAAACCTTTTGAATAATACATTCAAGAGCCTCTATCGCTCCACTAAACCACCCAAGGTGGTTAACTCTAGCAAAACATTGATGGCATCTAATAATTTATACCAACTCGATAATGTTACTACCTAATATACAAGTTAATTATTTTATATAAATAAAATTGTTTGATTAGATGTATGTACTAGAAAATTCTAAGATTTAGCTCAAATTCTTTGGCTGACTTTTTGTAATATGATATTATAAAAGGTACATACATTAGTTTATGATTTTGAAAGCATTACCAAAAATTTAACAACCACATGAGAACGGTTGGATAAAATTATATCTTAACTAGTCTAACAATTTAGATCTCCACCAAACCAACAACCCTACATTATCATGAAAATTAAACGTTCTGGACACAAAAGAACTACTCACCACATGAGAACGGTTTCGGTTTTGGTTCTTTCAAATATTGCAGAGTATACGAAACTACTCACTCCTACTCCTAGGCACTAAAAGGGATAGCCACTAGGAGGGACGTAGCCAGGATTTTGAGTCAATGAGTTCAAAACATCAAAGTTGATAAATTTATAATAAAATTTATCAGAAATAAAATTTATTTGCAATTACAATTAAAAAAACAACACAACTTTATCAAAATTCAACTCATAACTTAGGTTTTTTAAACAATTTCTACTAACTCAATAAAATTCAACTCATAAACCCATGAAAATTCATTAAATCTAACTTTAAATATCAAGTAATTAACTAATATATGAAACTTAAACCAAATCCTCAAATCTCTACAACTTAGGCTCCGTTTGGTACATATATTGGGAAAACTAGAGGTTAACACAAAATTGGTGTTTGGTTCACCTATTTTCAAAATACAATTCTAAATTATTCAATTTCTTTTAATCCCCCTAAATTTGTTAATTTAAATAAACAACCCCCAAAAAAAAATTAAAAAATTGACAAAAACACCCCAGCAACCCAAATTTACCAGATTCTGACCACTACTGTCGGAAGCTGACTGGAATCTGGTGTAATGGCGCACTATTGGCTAAATCTGGCCGGTAGTGCACCGATCTAGCATTTTCCTTGGATTTGGCCGAAAAAGGCCAGATCTTTGGCCATTGACGACCAAATGCGGCCAAATCTGGCCATCAATGACCAGATCTAACTGTAGATCTGGCCTTTTCCAGCCAGATTCATGGTGGTCTGGCCAAAAAATGTCATATCGGCACACGACCAGTAAGATCCAGCCGGTCATGTACCAATACGGCGACTCCAGCCACCCTTCGGCGGTGGTGGCCGGCTATCTGTATTTAATGAGTGGGTTGGGGGTATTTTTATTAACTTTGAATATTTTATTATAGGGGTGTTTAGTAAATAAATAAACATAGAGGGTATTTTTTGTTAATTTTTAAAATTCTACATCGTAATACCCATCTAATTTAACTTTTTTCAAAATATTATTCTAAAAACTACCCAATAATGAACCAAACGGAGCTTTAGGGTTTCATCAATTCTTTAAACCATATTCAAAATTAACTCCATAACTAACCAAAATTTATCAAACCCCACTACAACATTATGCATTTCTAGCCATGCCTTTAATTGTAGCTAAATATATGAATTTGCGTAGCTAAATGGTTTAACTATAAATGCAATGTTTTATAGCTTATCGTAGCTAAACGTTAGCCATGTAACTTTTTGCTTACGTAACTAACCGTTTATATTTTTTGCTATAGATAAGATTAATATGTAACTAAAAATTTAAATGTTTTTGCCATAACAATAATAAGCTTGTAGCAAAAGCTTTGCCTTTATAGCCATGAAGAATAGTTTGTATAGCTATGTTTGCATTTTAGCTATACAAATATNGCAACATTGATCGCATCTAATAATCTATACCAACTCGATAATGTTACTACCTAATATACAAGTTAATTATTTTATATAAATAAAATTGTTTGATTAGATGTATGTACTAGAAAATTCTAAGATTTAGCTTAAATTCTTTTGCTGACTTTTTGTAATATGATATTATAAAAGGTACATACATTAGTTTATGATTTTGAAAGCATTACCAAAAATTAAACAACCACATGAGAACGATTGGATAAAATTATATCTTAATTAATCTAACAATTTAGATCTCCACCAAACCAACAACCCTACATTATCATGAAAATGAAACGTTCTGGACACAAAAGAAGCTGGAATTATCTCAAATTAGTTGAATCTAATTTGCCATCATCTAGAATAGAATGGACAATTTTTTTTTTTTTTTAAATTTCTTTACATAAAAATTTGCAGGGCAGGGCCTTAAAAAAAAAAAAAAGAAAAAAAAAAGATTCTATTACAGTTTCCTATTAGATTATCAAAATTAGGTTTACAATTACGTGATAGAATAGAATAATCACATGTGAGTGACCTCATGATAAAAAAGCAAAAGAAGTTCCATGAACTCTTGAGTTCAAGTTCTCCTAGGTAAGGATAAGCATGGATAAAGGGTAGAACTCGGTAGGAACCGGGACTTAATTGTAATTTTTGTAATATTTGGGGGGATGTATTTGTTATTTTTTTTAAAAGTAGGGAGTACTTAAAATTATTTTGGGTACCCGAAACCGGAACCTATGTTTTAGATTCCGATTTCAGCTTTCTAGGAACTAGAACCAATCAGTTTCAATTTCGGTTCCAAATCTTAGGAACCGGTTGGTTTCGGTTATTTCAAAAAGTACAGGGTACACGAAACTACTCACCCTTACTCCTAGGCACTAAAAGGGGTGGCCATTGGGAGGAACGTAGCCAGGATTTTGAGTCAATGAGTTCAAAACATCAAAGTTGAAAAATTTATAATAAAATTTATCAGAAATATAATTTATTTGCAATTACAACCCACTATGTGGCTACGTGCCTTGCCACTGAGGCTCTTATCTGGTTGATAGTTCTAGGGTCCTGAGAGATTAGTTGAGATTCGCACAAACCAACTTGGACATCCCTAATGAACCAAAAAAAAATAAAAAATTAAGTGACAGAATATAATATATACTTCATAATGTAATTTTTTCTTTCTTAAAGTATAATTAGGTACATATATTTCCTACTTAATAACTTTAAAATTTTATAATATATAATGAAATTAAATATAAAACATCCATAATATTTTGTTAATTAATTCATAAATGTAAAATGAATTATAATGAAAATCCCTTCTACTGAAACGGGCTACATTTTAACCTTATATCCATCAGTAGGCCCAACACTTGGCCCATCTCAGATATGTTTGTAGGCCGTAGCCCGTCCTTACTACATAGAAGATTGTTCTAAATGGGCTTCCTTAAAGATTTAAATTACTCAGTAACAGTCCTTCACGTTACCTCTAATCCTCTATATAACGCTACTTCATTGTGACCGTTAAGTTTATGTTTTTTTCTTTTCCTTAGTTTCAGACCAAATGCTATATTTCATGTCTTAGTGAAATGACTTTACTCCAATATTGTTTCTTTTCACTTAGCAACTGTGGATGACTCAGCGAGATAAATCAACTTTCGAACAGCTTTGTTCCAAAAGAATTGCATCAGAAAGGGACTGGAGAGGAATGCAATGGTTGGTTTGTTTGGTGAGCTTCCCTCTGCTTATATTTTTGCCCTTTCATTCATACATTTTCTGTAACACTACGGCCTACTGGCGGCCAACACAGTCAAGATATTGTCCGTTTTAACAATTTGGATACTCCGAATCTCTCACGGTTTTTTTTTTTTTTTTTAGGCCCAAGAATTCCTGTTCAAGCCCAAAATACGTTTTGACTATCAAGGGGTTCTCTTGGTATTTAACTAGCCCAAGCCCCTCCCTCCTAAGCGATGTGGGATGTTTAATTTTTTACCAAACAAGACCGAACCCAAACGCTCCAGGGCTCTCAACCGTGAAAAAATAGTTAGCAGATTGACATTTTTTATCATTTGAAATATGTAAAACAAGATGGTTTTTTTACAATTTTGTGAATGGTCGATTAAAATTTGTAATTCCTTTCTTCTTTTTACCATTCATTGCATTTCTATTACTGCATTGCCTTTTGACTTGTTACTCTCTGCCCCTTGAGGATGACATCAATTTAGTATTCAAAAAACTCTTGTTGTCATGATTAACTGAAAGGTTTGTGCACAATTCATCAACCCTGTAATTAATAAAAGTGACATTCCCATCTACTATTTCGATTTCTAAAGATGGTGTTGATTAAAAAATGGATCGATTTCAATGTGTAAACTAAAAATCCCTTGAGCAATGTCGATAAAATACAGTCAAATTAGAATGGTTTCACTAAGAAACTAGTCACAGCTTGTAAGACTTGAATTCAAGACTTCACTCCTAATAAGTGTTAGTCCTTCAATTTGTGACCTTGAGAAAGAATCGTCCTCCAGATTTCCTATATTATATGTCCGTTCCCTCTTGTTGCCCACACAATTAAGTATATGAACAAAGATTATCAAACCCCATGTACTCCTTGTGCTGAATCCTTTCAATCATTTTCACCAAGCCTACTCCACCTGTTACGAAACAAAAGAAAAATCCCCCGTGAAATCGTAATCTCAGGCACAGTCCGATAATCTGAAGTTAGAGTCGATAAATGAATGGCAATTACATACCTAGTGATAATGCGCTCACAAAGATAGTGAAGGACAGAGTGAAGATGATTATAGATGCTCTGCCTAATATATCTATCAACTTGTTCACCAAATGTTGACCTACTAACGCTGCAATGGTCGTCACGGAGAAGAAGTAGAGAGCTGTGCAATCAAGTAACAATAATAAGTTAATATGTTTAACTTTCCAGGGAAAAGAAATCTATGATTTGCTCATAAGCTATATACCATAAGGGATGGGAAAACGTTTTAGCAGGTAATACTCTATGACAGACATTGATGCAGAAAATGTCATGGCAAAGGTGGCTGTGGCACTTGACACCTACATGAAAGTCCTCAACAAATCAGTTCAAGAATGAATGAAAATTAAAGATCAAAATTTTAGTTCTGTACACAAACTTGATTGCGGGATAAGACTATACACCTGAGGAGGGATTCCAAGCTCCAAAAATAGAGGACCTAAAATGAATCCTCCACCAAGACCAAGAAGTCCACCAACTACACCAGCCGTTATACCACAAGCACAACAAAGAACCAACTGATATACTCGCCAGTTCGTGACTACGTCTCCCTTCGACGCAATCCTTCTCCGTCCTTTGTACAAGCTAACAGCCTCGTATAGACTAACTCCACCAGCTACTGGTAGCTGTAAGATGTTTAAGGTCCAGAATAGCGTAGAACAGGTTGTTGTGTAATTCTGTACCAAAACGGTTGGGAATTCCATCAGTTCAGCCCAATACATAAAAGCAATATGAAATAGGCATTTGAAGGAGATGTAAGTACATTTATAGCCGGAAAATACCTTAGCAATCTGCAGTGCAAGGATTATAACCCAGACAGCAACCAGAATTCCAAGCTCTTTCCAGTAAATATTATCAAGAACGGAGAACTGATAAAGTTACATATCAAATCAGTCCTGAAACTTACTTGAAAACGAAAATGTTTCACTTTACAAGCCTTCTTACCTTTGTTTTTATAGGTTCCTTGGTTTCTTTTGGAGTTGTGTTGCTTAAAGACTCGGGTTCGCATTTGAATTCTTCTACTTGATTTCCAGTACCTGATCAAGAATTAAATTAGCTTGAAGAATAATTTTCAACACTCACCTAAAACTACAAAAAATAAACAAAAATTGACTCACTATTTAATTCCAAGCGTTTAGCAGCCTCCTGGAGAATCAGTATTAAGAGAAGCAAGGTACAAAAGAAAGTTAGATGAATAAGAACATGAATAAATTCCCTATAAATTGACATTAAGAATTATTTTTCATTGATAATGACAAATAAAATAGATAATTATCTACCTTTTTTGATATGGTTTCCTTTTTCCAGGTTTCAATTCCTCTCAAGAATGCCTTAGTAGACATAACTGCAGATCAACCATTTCTAATCAAGATGTTTATCCAAACGGAAAACTAAGAGAAAAGTGAAACTCAAAAACAAAATACCTAAGAACAGAATAATTAGCAAAACTGTGATCATCCAATCGGCGAAAATCACATTGAAAGCAACTCCAATACTGATTCCAAGCACCAACATTGGTTGAAATAAAAGTGCAAGGTCATAATCGATGACAGGTTGATCGAGTGTTGGATGCCTTTGCCTCAGATTATAGACAACTGTAGCTACTGCTGTACCTGTGATCATACCTGAGCAAACAAAAAGAAATCAGCATGTAAAACAATTCTGAAATTTGCTTTAAACCCTTTAGCCCTCATTCTATTGACCAAATTCTCAAACAATGAAGATTGAATTCACCATAAAAGAGTTAATCTGTCTTACATTTTGAGAGTGCTGTCGATGATTTTGCATCGAATCCAATGATCAAGGCAAGCATAGGAACAAATATGCCACCTCCACCGACACCTCCTACACTCCCACAAGCTGCTCCAAGGAATGCAATTATGCTACCCACCACAATTCTCCACCCAATTTCCATGTCCTATCATCCAAATTTCAGAAATCATGAATGATAAAGAAAATCAAATATACAAAATACAGAGCATTATCACTTGAACAATGGTTATTACAGGTTTTAGAAAGATAGATTAATGGACTTACAGGCCAAACATGTCTGTAACCTGACCGAGTTTTTGGAGAAGATGGTTTCGTTTCTTGATTATCTTCAGCTTCTTCATTTTCATCATGTCTTTTAGTTTCTTCTTTCAAACTTGATTCAGCTGAAGCAATCACAGAAGCTAAAACAAGCAAGCCAACCAAAACTACTACTGTTAATCTCAAATTCCCATAACATTTTGATCCAAACCTCCCAGACATACTCTCCCCTCTCTCTCAAATAATCAAACTCTCTTCAAATATGAACACAAAACTAAACAATTAATCAAAACAGCATCAAAACGCAAACTTGCGAAGAAACGGATACTGTTTTGTGGAGCAAGTACACAAAGAAGCCACTCTTTGAGTTGAGATTGGGACCACCTAACCCCTAAACAAAACAAGTTTCAGTCTGAAAAGAAAGTTGGCAATTTTCATGCTATAAGCAAAATTAAGTTTCAGTCTGAAAGGAGAGTTGGCAATTTTAATACTCTGTGCACTAGAGCATTTTATAAGCTAAGAGGAGTTGACCCTACAGGAAAATTGTGCCTGAAATGAGTTAACAACAGAATCTCCTGGTGTATGGGTGTTTGTCAGTTTGTGTGTGCATCAAGTTTGCAGGATATTTTATTTTATCATCGATATTAAGCGTTTATCATTAAGTAAAAAATTATAACTGTTCACATAGGTGTGCAACCTTATTTACTTAAACCAACCCCCAGCTCTGTGGCCACAGTTCGATGTAACTAGACCCTTTGACATCCACCACATTAAGGATACTAGCCCACATAACTACCATTTACCTCAGCTACAGATACAGCAAGTCGTTAACATTACAGAAAAGGATGTATTACTCAACCAATTAATAACAAAAGATTTGAAATAATAACTAGAATCTGTGATAGATGATAGATGATGGATGTTTATGTATACATGCATTAAGTTTAAGAGATAAGATCCAATATATACCTACCTCCAATTAGGGGTAATCTTATATTCATTAATTATCTGACTTTTATCTAATATATTCCCCTCACAGTCGGTTCAAAAAAAAAAAAAAAAAAAAAATGTGGTTGTGTATATATGAAGTTTTGGAAGAATCTTTCCATCTCTTTCTTCTAGTATTCATTCATTCTCTTTTTCCCTAAACTTTATTATTTTATGAACAGTAAAAACACTTGGTAATGTCTCCTAAATAATTGCAGTAATTGTCTCCAATACATCTCTATCTCCGCAACAGTCACCTGCACTATATAAGCCTTGGAATTTACTAACCAGAAAAGCTTCAATGGGTTAATATTTAATTTTGAAGCTGAGTATAAAGTAAGATATTTAAAAGGGTTGTTTTATGATTATGACCTTTCAAGGCATGAGTGATTAAGATCCTTGTAAAATTGTCTGGCTACATTTCATCCATGCATGCAACAAAAACACAAAGAGGGATCGAATAATTATGCGGATTTAATGAATGACGAGTGGGGACCATTATTTCCTACTTAATAACTTTAAAATTTTATAATATATAATGAAATTAAATATAAAACATCATAATATTTTGTTAATTAATTCATAAATGTAAAATGAATATATAATGAAAATCCCTTTACTGAAAAGGGCTACATTTTAACCTTTTACAATCAGTAGGCCCAACACTTGGCCCATCTCAGATATCTTTGTAGGCCGTAGCCCGTCCTTACTAGTAGAAGATTGTTCTAAATGGGGCCTTAAAGATTTAAATTACTCAGCACAGTCCTTCACGTTACCGAATCCTCTATATAACGCTACTTCTGGCCAGTTAATTATGTTTTTTTTTTTTTTTTTTTTTTTTTTCAGACCAAATGCTATATTCATGTCTTAGTGAAATGACTTTACTCCAATATGTTTCTTTTCACTTAGAACTGTGGATGACTCAGCAGATAAATCAACTTTCGAACAGCTTTGTTCAAAAGAATTGCATCAGAAAGGGACTGGAGAGGAATGCAATGGTGTGGTTTGTTTGGTGAGCTTCCCTCTGCTTATATTTTGCCCTTTCTTCATACATTTTTGTAACACTACGGCCACTGGCGGCCAACACAGTCAAGATATGTCCGTTTTAACAATTTGGATACTCGAATCTCTCACGGTTTTTTTTTTTTTTTTTAGGCCCAAGAATTCTGTTCAAGCCCAAAATACGTTGACTATCAAGGGGTTCTTTGGTATTAACTAGCCCAAGCCCCTCCCTCCTAAGCGATGTGAGATGTTAATTTTTTACCGAACAAGACCGAACCCACACTCCAGGGCTCTCAACCGCGAAAAAATAGTTAGCAGATTGACATTTTTTATCATTTGAAATTGTAAAACAAGATTGTTTTTTACAATTTTGTGAATGGTCGATTAACATTTGTAATTCCTTTCTTTTTACCACTCATTGCATTTCTATACTGCATTGCCTTTTGTCTTGTTACTCTCTGCTCCTTGAGGATGACATCAATTTAGTATTAAAAAAACTCTTGTTGTCATGATTAACTGAAAGGTTTGTGCACAATTCATCAACCTGTAATTAATAAAAGTGGACATTCCATCTACTATTTCGATTTTAAAGATGGTGTTGATTAAAAAATGGATGATTTCAATGTGTAAACTAAAAATCCCTTGAGCAATGTCGATAAAAACAGTCAAATTAGAATGGTTTCACTAGAAACTGAGCACAGCTTATAAGACTTGAATTCAAGACTCACTCCTATAAGTGTTAGTCCTTCAATTGTGACCTTGAGAAAGATCGTCCTCCAGATTTCCTACATATATGTCATTGTCCGTTCCCTCTTGTTGCCACACAATTAAGTATAGAACAAAGTATCAAACCCCATGTACTCCTTGTGCTGAATCCTTTCAATCATTTTCACCAAGCCTACTCCACTGTTACGAAACAAAAGAAAAATCCCCGTGAAATCGTAATCTCAGGCACAGCCGATAATCTGAAGTTAGAGTCGAAAAATGAATGGCAAATTACATACCTAGTGATAATGCGCTCACAAAGATAGTGAAGGACAGAGTGAAGATGATTATAGATGCTCTGCCTAATATATCTATCAACTTGTTCACCAAATGTTGACTACTAACGCTGCAATGGTCGTCACGGAGAAGAAGTAGAGAGCTGTGCAATCAAGTAACAATAATAAGAATATGTTTAACTTTCCAGGGAAAAGAAATCTATGATTTGCTCATAAGCTATATACCATAGGGATGGGAAAACGTTTTAGCAGGGAATACTCATGACAGACATTGATGCAGAAAATTCATGGCAAAGGTGGCTGTGGCACTTGACACCTACATAAAGTCCTCACAAATCAGTTCAAGCATGAATGAAAATTAAAGATCAAAATTTGTTCTGTACACAAACTTGATTGCGGGATAAGACTATACACCTGAGGAGGATTCCAAGCTCCAAAATAGAGGACCTAAAATGAATCCTCCACCAAGACAAGAAGTCCACCAACTACACAGCCGTTATACCACAAGCACAACAAGAACAACTGATATACTCGCCAGTTCGTGACTACGTCTCCCTTCGACGCAATCTCTCCGTCCTTTGTACAACTAACAGCTCGTATAGACTAACCCACCAGCTACTGGTAGCTGTAAGATGTTTAGGTCCAGAATAGCGTAGAACAGGTTGTTGTGTAATTCTGTACCAAAACGGTTGGGAATTCCATCAGTTCAGCCCAATACATAAAAGCAATATGAAATAGGCATTTGAAGGAGATGTAAGTACATTTATAGCCGGAAAATACCTTAGCAATCTGCAGTGCAAGGATTTAACCCAGACAGCAACCAGAATTCCAAGCTCTTTCCAGTAAATATTATCAAGAACGGAGAACTGATAAAGTTACATATCAAACAGTCCTGAAACACTTGAAAACGAAAATGTTTCACTTTACAAGCCTCTTACCTTTGTTTTATAGGTTCCTTGGTTCTTTTGGAGTTGTGTTGCTTAAAGACTCAGGGTTAGCATGACTCTACTCTGAGAAGGGATTGGGTTGGGTCCAACATATGGGCTGCAAATTTGAGCAAGGCCCAACTTATATTGCTTGAATGTGGAATCAATCGAGAGAACATTATTATTATTTTATCAATGAGTTAATATATTATGATTTATTTATTTTTATGAATAATTCATCTAATCAAATCCAAATTTTATTAGAATTATTGAATTATTATTAAAAAAATTAATTCATTGAATAAATAAATTGTTAACAAGTTATTATTACCTCGACCATGAGAAGTGGAATCAATTCTCATAAATGGTGCTAATGTTTAGGGATGCGCAAATATTTAGGGTACAACCAGAACACGGAACTGGTCTAATTCTAATTCCAAATATGTCAAAACTAGCACTCTGCAGATTCGGGTCTGATTCCACCACTCCAAGAATTGGACCTAGACCCAGTACCCAAGGTGGAACCAACGAGTACCCGAGAACTAGAGATGTTGAAGACATTGATGGTAGAGACATTGATAATGAAGATTTGCTCATATAGATTATTAAACTGTTTGTTACATTTTTTAATCTTTGACATGATGTTTGTTTGAAAGCTTCTAAATTTTTGATGTAGTTTTTATTTTTTAAATGACTATACGACTTGAGTTCAATTCCTTTATTTTATAAATTATGCTTTCAGTTTCATAAAATTTCATGGTTATACAATTCAGTTAATTTGCTTTGCATATTAATACTTTGTGAAGTGAGGCAAGTTTTGATAAATATATTAATGGTGGTTCGGTTATTTTGATATATGCACGAAGTTTTTAACAAGGTAATTTTGCAATATTTTATATGATTTAATTTGTATCATATCTCCTATAATTTTAACCGTATTTTATATGTTTTAATTTGTTTTTCTATTTTCTTGCATTTTCTATATATAATTAACAATAAACAAATGCTATCATTCTCAAATATTAATCGTATTATTAAAGCTATCATCATCATCTAAAATATACATACAAGTCCATTCACACAAATATGTAACGTTACTAATTTTTATAATATCTCATATCTTATACCTAAAATTATATATATTTCATGAAGTGTTAATTTCAAATCATCATAGAAAAGACAAAAACCGTAAAGATCATTTAAAACAAAATTTTATTTTATAAAAGCCCATACTACTCTTAGATCACTGAATAGTTCTTTTAAGTTAGCTATTAGTTGAAAGTTCTAATTTACTGTTGACCTTAACGGTGTGATTAACACTATGTTTGATTATAATTATTTAATTCATAAGTAATAAAAACATAATTACTCATGAGATAAATTAGAATATCTATAACTACATACCATAAGGATTGTAGCAAATTAATTTTCACATTTTTTTGTTTGCTACAAATTCAAATAATTTATAACTAATACACACATACTAGTTGTATTTTTAAACTAGTAGCTAATACTAATACTATAATATTGATACTACCATGAAAATAAAATTTGCATAGCTAAACACCTTAATTAGTTATAAATTTCAATATTTTTATAGCTATGAGCAAATAATAGTTATATAGTTAAACTTGTAGCTAATAATGACACTATATGCCATGTAAATAAAATATTTATAGCTAAATA